GGCTGGACCCACAGCGGGACCCACGGGTGAACCCACAGACACCCATGGACCCACAGTGGGACCCACAGATGGATCCCGGGACACCCAGAGACCCACAGCCGGACCCATGGGTGGACCCACGGACAGACCCACGGACACCCAGAGACCCACAGCGGGACCCACGGATGGATCCACAGACACCCATGGACCCACAGACAGACCCACAGTGGGACCCACAGACACCCAGCAACCCACAGACACCCATGGACCCACAGTGGGACCCACAGATGGATCCACAGACAGTCAGAGACCCAAAGCCGGACCCACGGGTGGACCCATGGACAGACCCACGGACACCCATGGACCCACAGCCAGACCCACAGTGGGACCCATGGACACCCACGGACCCACAGATGGATCCACAGACACCCAGAGACCCACAGTGGGACCCACAGGTGGACCCACAGACACAGCCAGACCCATAGCCAGACCCACGGACAGACCCACGGACACCCGTGGGGACACAGACAGACCCACGGCCGGACCCACAGATGGACCCACAGTGGGACCCATGGCCAGACCCACAGCCATGGCCGGACCCACAGCCAGACCCACGGCGCAACCCATGGATGAACCCAGGGCCAGACCCACGGCGCGACCCATGGTGGGACCCATAGATGGACCCATAGCCGGACCCATAGCGGGCGCTGTGTCGTGTGGGGACAGCCAGGTGGGTGTGGGGGGCTTGGGGATACAATGGGGACCCACAGCGCCCCATAGCGACCCACAAGTGAGTCTGGGGGACACATATGGCCCCACACCAACCCCTAAGTGGGTCTGGAGGGGATATGGGGACCCTCTGTGCGCCACAGTGACCCCCAAGTGGGTCTGGGGGACACATAGGGACCCACAGTGACCCCTAAGTGGGTCTGGGGGGGATATGGGGACCCTGTGTGCCCCATAGCAACCCCCAAGTGGGGATGTGAGGGGAAATAGGGACCCACAGTGACCCCCAAGTGGGTCCAGGGGAAGATATAGGGCATCTATGGGGTCCATGGTGACCCCCAAGTGGGTGTGGGGAGGGATGTGGGTCACGATGGTCCCTGCCCCACGGCTGTGCCACCCCCCCAGGGTCCCCCCATCAAAAGACGGACGCCCTGCGCGACGCCCCACGGCTGCCCCACGGCGACCCACAGCAACCTGGTATGGGGGGCACTTGTGGGGCTGGGGGGCAGTTATGGGTCAGGGGTCACTTATGGGTCTAGGGAGTCACTTCGAGGTCACTTATGGGTCAGAGATCACATATGGGTCAGAGGTTGCTTATGGGTCAGGGGATCACTTATGGGTCTAGGGATCACTTATGGGACTGGGGGTTACTTATGGGTCTGGGGTCATTTAGGGGTCAGGGGTCACATATGGGTCAGAGATCACTTAGGGGTCACTTATGGGTCTGGGGTCAAGGTCAGGGGGGTCATTTATGGATCTGGGGTCATTTAGGGGTCAGAAGTCAGTTATGGGTCAGGTCACTTAGGGGTCACTTATGGGGCTGGGGGGTCACTTATGGGTCGGG